GTTGCTAAAGATGTCTGGTTCTTTTACCTATAATTCCAGAGTGAGTCGGAGCCCTAACAATAGTGCTTCGTACTCAGCTTTGTTGTTGGTGGCTTTGAATTCAAATTGGAGGGCGAGCTCATACTACTATTCATTTGGTCCTTTTAAGACAAGCCTAGCTCCTCTATCGGTGGTGACCGACTCGTCCACATGTAGCATCCACTTTTCTTCAACGCATTCTTGGTTATCTACCCTTTATGTAGGAGTGAGTTCGGAGATGAAATCAACTAGTACTTGAGCTTTAATAGTTGTTCTTGGTATATACTGGATGTCGAACTCTCTCGATTCAACCGACCACTTGAGTATCCGTCCAACAATGTCGAACTTAGAGAGGACCTATTGGAGTGGTTGATTGGTGACCACCTTTATAGTGTGGGCTTGAAAATAAGGCCGCAACTTCCTGGCTGTATATACCAAAGCTAATGTCAGCTTTTCGATGGGGAGTATTGTTCTTTGGGTCCATTCAGGATGTGGTTGGTGTAGTAGATGGGTCACTATATCCCTGCATCCTCTCATATTAGAATCGAACTGACGGTATGATTGGATGCCGCAAGATATAGGCTAAGTGGCTCGCCTGGATTGGCTGAAATGAGTTGGGGCAGCTGAGCGAGGTATGTTTTCAACTTCTTGAAGGCCTCTTTACATTCTTGAGTCCATTTAAAGTTCTTCAAGTGCTTGAGGACTTGAAAAAAGGGGATGCACATGTCTCCCAATCTGGATAGGAATCCGTTGAATGCGGCTACCCTTCCTATGAGGCATTGAACTTCCTTAATTGAACGAGGTGGTTGCATCTCGATTATAGCTTATATCTTCTCAGGATTTGCATCCACCCCTCTCTGGTGAATAATGCAACCAAGAAATTTGTCAAAGCCAACTCTAAAGATGCATTTACAAGGGTTGATCCGCATGTTAAACCCTTTAAGCATTTGGAATGTCTCTGCTAGGTCTGTCAGGTGCGTGCTTACTGTTTTACTTTTCACAATCATATTAACGTATACTTCCATATTTCTTCTGATCTACATCTTGAACATCTTGTTGACCATTCTTTGGTATATGACCCCTACGTTCTTGAGACCAAAAGGCATGACTTTGTAGCAGTATACACCTCGATAGGTGATGAAGGAGGTATGTTCATAGTCTTGGGGAGCCATTTGGATTTGGTTGTATCTTGAGAAGGCGTCCATGAACATGAGGAGTTCATGTCCTGAAGTAGCATCTACCAGTTAATCTATCCATGGGAGGGGATAGCAATCTTTCGGATATGCCCGATTAAGATCAATGTAATCAACACACATTCTCCAGCTTTCATTAGGTTTCTTAACCAATACTACATTGGACAACCATTGAGGGTATTTTACCTTTGTTATGAATCCTGCTTCCAGTAGTCGGTCTATCTCGTCGCTTATGGCTTGTTTCCGATTGAGAGAGAACTTTCGTAACCTCTACTTCATGGGTCGTGCTTCAAGAAGAATATTAAGTTGTTGTTGCATGACCCTTGGGTCGATTCCCGGCATGTCCTTTGGGGACTAGGGAAATATATCAACACTTTTTATAAGGAAATCAATAAGTTGAACCTGATCCTTTCCGGAAGAGTAGACCTGATTTTTATGACTTTGTTCGGTTGGCTTTTGTCAAGAGGGACCTCTAGCACTCGCTCAATTGGTTCAAGGTGAGGTGATGCCTTTGCCGTATCTCGAGGATCCGTTATGAGGAGCTCAGACTTCAATTTCTTTGGTAGAGAGGTCGTTGTCATGTAACATTACCTTGACTCTTTTGGATTGCTTCTGACCTTACCAATCGGGTCGGAAACTTTCATTGTCTGATGATAGGTGGATATAACTGCCGTTAGCTTGTTGAGAGTCGGGCGACCAAGGATTACATTATATGCTGAAGGGAGACTGTCCACCATAAATGTGATCATCATAGTATTGGATCTTGGTTCCTCACCAATGGTGACGGGCAGGGTTGTGGTCCCAAGGGGAGAGATGGAATCCCTTGTGAACCAAGAGCCAAGGTCATTGGAGCAGGTCCTTCTCTGCCAAACCAAGCTTCTGGAAAGCATCAAAGTATAAGATATCAGCGAAACTTCCTATATCCACCATAATTTTTTTTACTCGGGCGTTGGCGATTTTGATTGAGATCACTAGGGCATCGTTGTGATCAGGATATTTGGTTTCTTTTGCTTCGAAGGTGATTTATGAGTCGTCCCTCTACCTTGGATGTTTTTTCCACTATGACCCATGCATAGGCTTTTCTTTCGGATGTGCTGTCTCCACCAAACACTGGCCCACCAATAATCACATCAATTTGTTTCTCGATGGGGCCACGAGAGCATGGAGAGGGCTCTCGGGACCTTCAACGGTATCGCCCGAGATGTCCTCTATGGATAAGGTTCTAGATTTGGTATTTCATATCTCAACATTCTTCGGCGTCATGGTCGTAATCTTGGTGGTACCTACGATATATTATTTTGTTTTTGAACTCAAACGGGGTCTTCGACGGTCTGGGCTTCCTTAAAAGCCCCTTTCCTTCGATTTGGAGAAATATTTCTGTCCTAGATGAATTGAGGGGTGGCTGATACCAGGGTAATGCAAAATGGATTTTGAAAGAAAGTTGATAGTACAATTGTAATTGCTAGAATAAGTTCTTCGGATTAAAAAGGAACGAACTCATAATAAAACTTTAATAAAATCGATAAATAGCTCACCACCAAGTTTAAAATCATAAAGGGATATGGTATCCCAAAGATAATAAACAAGGATACAGAACTGAAAATAAAATACTCACCACTGAATGAAGCATCCAAGAGATAAAGATTTTAAGAAAGAACTCCAATAGAGTTTCTGTCAATACCATCGGTTTCTAAAACTTCTTTCTAACCCTAAAACACCAAAATAAGTACTAGTCCATGAAACAACCCTTCATGCATAGGGAACTATGAAATTAAGTGCCTTACAACTGGCAACAAACCCCTTTAATGCATTCCTTGGTCATGAAGAAAAGCACCTTGAAATAGCTTTAACTTTGTCTAAGGAATATGCTCATAAGTTGTCAAATTTGAATGGGCTGGGTTAAATGCTGAGATAACATTGTGGGCTATAGAGAATACCATAGGATCCAAGAAGATCCACGCAAGCTGGTTATAACAAATTAAGCACGTCAATCTCTCCTGATTAAAAAAGACTTATCCTCAAGTCCTCATTTGTTTCATCAATATGATTATAATAAGGGCATAAATCAGTCATATTGAATGTTGGGGACACTCCATAATCTTTAGTCTCATAAGCATTCTTGTCAATTCTCTTAAGCACCTTGAATGGACCATCAGCCTTTGGTTTCAATTTTCTAAATTTGCCCGATAGAAACCTCTCCTTCCTTAGATGAATCCGGACCAAATCACGTGCATTAAACTCCACGCGTTTTTTGTGTTTGTTGGTAGCTTGCATGTACCTCTCATTTTGCTTCTCAATGGTTGCTTTAACACCATCATGCAGCTTATTTATCTGCTTTGCCCTCTCATCAGCATCTCCACTAAATTACATAATTGTAAAATGAGGGACTAAGTCCAAAGGACTAGTAAGATTAGCACCATAAATCTCAAAAAGACTCTTACTAATACTATGATGCATGAAACAATTATAAGCAAATTCAATTTATGGAAGAATGAGATCTCATTGCTTAATATTCTTGCTAACATAGCTTCTAAGCAAGTTCTCAAGCTTCTGTTTGTTACCTAAGTTTGCCCATCGATTTGTGGATGATGTGAGCTATTGAAATTCAAAGAAATGCCTAGCTTTCTCCAAAGAGTTCTCCAAAAATGACTAAGAAATTTTGAATCTCAACCAAACACTATAGTTCTTGAAATACCATGCAATCTGACAATCTCCTTGAAATACAAATCAACAATATAAGATGCATCATTTGATTTGTTGCAAGAAACAAAGTGAGACATCTTTGAAAATCTGTCAATAACAACCATGAAAGAATCCGTGTTCCTTTGAGTTCTTGGTGATTCCAAAACAAAACCAAGACTCATTTCCTCCCATAGAGTACTAGGCACTAGCAATAGAGTGTACAAACTAAAATTTTGACGTCTTGTTTTTACCAAATAACATACTCGACATTGCTTTATAAGTCTCTCCATATCTCTAAACATCTTAGGCTAATAGAAATTTGATTAAACAAGAACTAAAGTCTTGTTCCTACCAAAATGTCCTCCCAAAACACCACCATGAGCTTCAAGTAGAATTACTTGTCTCAAAGATTAAAAAAAATTACTGAAAAGAACCCGATTTGTAATTCTATCATATTGAGTTGAAATCTATCTATCTGCAGAGAAACAAATGATTGGCCTATGAGGCAGAAGGTAGAATGGGCAACGAGTGCCTCCTCGGAAAGGAGCGCGCTAAGGTCGTTCAGGTCACCCGCATGATTACTCAGATAGGAGGCTTTACAAATAAGGGACAAAGAGTCGTGGTCGCCATCTCCTAAGGTGTTCTCCAACGGATCCGCGAGAGGCTTCTGGTCCCAAGTCCCTGCACAACAAGTCTACACCGGAGAGGGGAGTTCCAACTTGACCCCTTTAAAACTAAACCCAGTTTTTGTGGATCGTGAATCTTGTCCCCAAGCATCTACCTGAAGATGATTTTTATACCTTTCTTAAGGAGTCAACTACCCTTGTGCGAACATCCTCGCTAGTAAGCATCGCTTGATTCTGAACAACATGAATTTACTGTGCACCGCTTCAAAGCCAAGTGACATCGCTTCTGAGCCGAGTTGCATTGCTTCAGGATGTCATCGCTACTAAATCGCTCTAAGTCGTTTCGTGTTGCTTTGAGATATGTGCGAACTGGAGTGGCACCACATATGATCTTAGGTGGCTGCCAGTTGAGTGGTGTACCAAAATATCCTCTATCAAGTTGAAATTATTTCTCACTAAATCTTCTCATATACACAACAAATATTGGGAAGATGGATCTGACCTGTATGTATCGAAGCTGCTACATTGTTGTCAGTAGATAAAGCGACAAGGCCAGGTAAGAACTAAAAAAATCATGGAGCCTGCAAAATTCTTGACGTGGCATAAGGAGAATAAAAAAAATTATTAGCCGATCAAATGTACTAGACGTTGATGAGGCAAAACTCATGCGGTCCAAAACCAGCGAGGAAGCAGACCATCGTATCAGTCTCGCCTAATCCCTAAAAACTTAGCTGTAAGCTCCCAGGTCACGATGGCGACCGCATTAGCTGGAAATGCCCTTGCTAATGTTGGCCCAAGACCAGCATAGCATCCACTCAAGCCCACTCTCTTGTAAATCTGAAGAAATTGGAACTCTCTGAACCTCCTGCGAGGATGCAACTAAGTGAAGAGACAAAATTAAAAAGGCATACCGCGTAAAGTGTTTGGAGAGGATTTCGACTATAATTTGGATCAGGAGAAGTCTGAATCACAGTTTTCGCAACATCCAGTGGAAGAACAGCTAACCAGAACTGTCAGAAAAGAATCATACGTTAAACAAGGTAAACCATAGCCTTGATCTCCAAAAGAAGCTTTATCTTTACTTACAGCAGTTCCAGCAAGTCCGCCAGTAACAATGCCAATCCCTGTGTCGACTAAAACCTTTGAATGGTGGCTTGAGGCAGATGGTGAAAAACTCAATTGCTTATGCAAGTGGTGACGACTTAGCTCATAAGTGCTAAAGAAGACTGCATTGCCAATTGATTCTCTTAAAAAGGTTGATAAGCCACCACGAAAAATGCCTTTGACCTGAAAAAGCCAGACTATTCACTCACTGATATACAAAGCGCTTTGCAGATACATGGTCAAGAGAACAGAAAAGATAACCTTACCCCTTCCTGCTGGATAGTTTTAAGAGCACATTCTAGTGGACCATTGTATCTAACAAACATTGCTGCATCCTTCCCTTGAACTTGCATCCTACACTGGAAAGCACTTAGCATGACATATAAACAAGTCAAAAAAGGAAAATATCAATGCAAGTCAAGAAAGAACTATTTGTAACATTTTCTAGCACCCACACACCTTTACTAGCTCGGTTGGACATAGTATAAAGCTGATCAATGCTCCAGCAAATGCTGCTGAAGGAATAATTACCTGGAGCTGTGGTCTGTTGTTCTGAATTTCCCCCTGCACAGTAAACGTAAACAAAAAAGCACCATCATAGTCTGCAGAACAATAAAAAGGACCTAACTCCCCATACATCATACTACAAGAATTATGAATCAATGCAAGAGTTATAAAACAGTTTATCCATTTATGTTTCAGAACCTGAAATTTTTGCTTTGTCTGGGAATAAATGCCAAAGAGAAGGGAACTCTCACATGCCATCCCAATGAACGAGGATGACGCACCTTTATATAATCCTCTTACCTGTAAAATTTGAGGGAGAGAGATTTCAAGTGAATTAAGGTTCTTTGAAAATTCTAGAACTTAAATTACACAACTTGAATTAGCAAATCTTGCTAAATATCCCTGGCCAAATTACAAAAGAATCTCAGGATGTAGCCAAGAAAAAAGGGTATAAGCTTAAACAGACATTTCCTTTCTCCAATCTACAAATCTGAAGGACAAGACAGGTATGATGTACTGATATAGCCTAAGATACTTGTGCAAACTCTGGTGACGTTGACAAACTAAAGTCACAGAATCAGTTGTGCAAACCCTTAAGAAATGACAGATATGTCCCATAATCTATACATAGTTGCATTACTTCTAGTTTCACCTCACCAGGAAGACCTGAAATTCCTAACAGATCCAATCTTAAAGCCACATACCCAATCCAGGGGACCTGGGTCAAGGTTGGTTTTGGAGTGGCTCCAAGAATCGGGTCCCAATACAATTCCAACTAGGAGGTTGCGTAGAAAATGTCCAGCAAGATGATTTCAAGATTGCAACCTCCTGTCTCCCTCCCTCCCCTTTACCTAGTGTTTCTTTTTTATTCTTTCCGAACCTTAATACAAGAACTGCATGATGGTATAAAGCACCGAATAAAAGCCACTTGAGAGGAATGAACCTTTGCAAATTAAAATTGGTCATTCATCATTTTGTCTTAATCAGTTTAAGCTTAATCAAAATCAATCCAGATCCAGAGAGTTATTAGTTGATTGTACATCACTACATCCCATCCTGTCCTTATATGAAGGGAAATTCAAGAAGACTGTCAATGTAATGTTTTTTTTTTTTGCACAAATTCCTTTTACAGGCACCTATTTTCTTAATGTGATATGAGGTTTCCAATAAAATCTTCAATGCTCAGCATATTTGATGCACCATCCAGCATGTGAACAACTTCTACTTCTTAGAAAGAAAAATAATAAACAAGTTTGACCAAGCTTAGAAGCATACTCCTTCAGTGATCAAGATCCGACTAGTGCAGTGTAAAGCATTCTTGTATTCCTTCACTTGTGTTTTTGTATTGTGAGCTTGCAACTTGACCTGCTCCATAAACAATATAATCACCCGTTTCTTTATGTTAAAGCATGGCAAATCTGAAAACAACATCCTACCATAAACTATCTAATATGTATAAGAAATAACAATTGTCGTGGAAAGAAAGAGTATTAAAGGGTATTAATTTCCAAAGCATACTTTGAAGTGTTATTGATACAACAACCAATAATCTGAGAAAAATGCAAGTCCATGTGATACACAAAAGAAGGAAAAGTCTACTCAAAGGAGGAAGTAAACTTTCAAAAATTCATTTATAGTCAATCCATGCCTACTTAATGGGAGAGTTTGAATAATTCATCAAGTTAAATGAATAAATGTCTTCTTCATCAAGCTCTCAACATGTGTACATGTCAATCCTCATGATACAACTAAATATAGTGAAAGTATACTTGGTATTAACTACGAGTCATTCACGATATATGAAACTCGCAGCTCCAGACTTTTCACTACGAACCTGCATATTCTGATGACTCTGCAAGATACTTATTAAGTTGTCGAGCTTATAATGTGTAGGAATCGACATCAGGTATTGATGGTTTCCAATTTATAATTGTGAATAAACTCATTCAATTTTGTAACTGATGGTCATGGGACTATAATTGACCGCATATGTCCTTCAGAACAAATATTAATTTGTTAAAAGTCTAATTTGAGTTTTTATAAGTTCTCCATAGGTGTTCTATTACCAAAAACAAAGTTGTCTCAAAAGCATAAAAAAATATATTCAATTAAAGCTTCTACTCCTTCAACTCATCAATTTCGACAAAACTGGTTGGTCTTTTGTAAACAAACTGGAACTAGAATGAAGATAGCAGATTACAACGGTAACCATTTAAGAATTCTTGCAACTTCTTGTACTAAGATTAAGTGACCATGCATCTTGGCATATAAATTAGCCTATTGATCACCTTTTCAGGTATGTAATATTGTAAAGCCCCAATGTTCATGATTGGATTACAAATAATGAACATCCTCACAACAACAAACACATGTAAGAACGCTACGAAGCTCTCCAGTCAACATCAACTCCACTATCAAATCGATGGGTTATAACAACTCTCCAAGGTTTTTGACACCAAAACTCCTTAAAGATAAGCAGCATTTATCGCTTTTCCTACGTGGAAGATATGTCACCCCAATTGTGTCATATAGCTTCTCCCAATGTAGCAGTACAAAGCACCTCCTGTGGAACATTTTTCATCTTCTCCCGGTAGGCAATACAAAGGTACTATGATGAAAGGAAGTGTTCTATTCAGCTACGCAATCCATAAAACAAATGACGGATATAAAATGGTCAGATGAAGAATGGCATTAGCAGCAGATCCTGGTCATCTTAAAGATTTTCGTAATCATAAATTAAAAACATACGTATACCTAAAAAGAGCACATCCTGAAAAGTATATAATCTAAGTCAAAATGTTACTCTCCAAAGTCGCTTAGGCCATTCAAGAAATGTATTCTAATTCGCAGTAGCGCTGACCAGTTCCGTTCTGACCGCAGAGAGATCAACACACAAACGCCACAAACCACATCCAATGAAGAAACTTAATAGCATCCTTTCCCCCATACATTTCAAGGATCCAAGAAAACGATCCTAGGTAAAACCATCAGACACCTCACAGGGTCCAGTGGAACGAGGGGAAAAATAAGGAAAAGGGGAAAACGTAACCCTAAATAATCGGCACGACGAACAAAAGAATGGGAGAGATTACGATGAAGAAAGTGATGGAAGGGTGGAGGAGGAGAAATAGCGCGGACCTTGACGGTGTCGAAGGGATGACCGGTGATGACGGTGGCGACACCAGCGGCGAAGCCGGCCGCGTATTCCTTGGCAGCCTCGACCGCCGGGCTCATCGCCCCGTTCCCTACTCTCTTTCTTTCTTGAAGGGCCGGCAAAATGGTCGATTCATGAGCAGTTGCCATATATAAAATAAAGAAGAATTAATGAAATTTTTGGAGGACGTCGGCGGCGCGGCGCACCGCCGCGCCGTCCGCAGCGAGATCGTTGAGAAGTATACTTTTTCATTCGTGGGTTTCTTTACACAGATACCCTCATTAAAGCCAAGAAATAACGGAAATGCACGACCTGCGGTTGCCTATGCTTGCAAACCTATACTTTGTAGGGGGAAAAGAACAAAAAATGCATATTATATAAATAAATATATATATATATATATATAATATTGATGTTCTTTAAAAATCTTGTTATCTTGATCGCTGAAATAATATTGGGCGTAATTTAGATACTTTATTAGTTTTTTATGTAAAATAATTACCATTGATTGCTTGTATATAATTATGCTTAATTTGAGTTTACTGGATTGATGTTAACCAAAGAAGTATACAGAGAGAATTTTAATATTCGAAGGAACAAACATGTTAAATGAAAACTCATAAGGTAAATAAGCTATTTCCAATATTTTAAAAGATAGATATGTAAAAACCTCAATAAAAGAAAAATAAAACTGTTGTTCTCAGTAGATTTCTTAAAGAAGTATGGCCGATAAATTGAATCGGGCGTACTTATGATGATCTACTTAGACCCCTTATAATTTTGAATTATTATAAAAATCAAATAAATTGGGCCTGGCATACTCATTGTCATTTACACAGTGCCCTCATAATTTTGAATTTTTATACAAGAATCTGAAAATATTGATTAGTGTAAAAGAGGTAGGCATAAAAATGCTATCACAGTAATGATTCCCCCTGCAAGTCGATGCATACATAGTCTATCGACGAGTATGCCTTTGTTTAGTGACACCCTGAAAGACGTACAAGATGGTCGTCCCTGTACAATGACACTGTTACAGATAATTGAGAAAGGGATCAAAAACACGGTCTCAATAATCAATTTCCTTGGGACGACATCAGGTAAGTAGATTTCTAGAGCCAGCAGCCAACAATTTCCTGAGGCCAAACCCCACTGCTCTGAAAGTTCGAAACAAATGCATTACGTTAGGACACAAAGATGGCAAAGAGAACTGATGAGACGCAGCTAAAGACCGGTGATATAACAATCAGATGAAAGAGACGATCGATTCAAGTGAACAAGTCACAGACAACAGCAAACTGCAAGAAATAAAATAACATGAGTCTACATATCTGTGGATCCTAACTAAAGATCATGAAACTTAATTTCATCACTGAATGATGTCAGAGCGAAAGCAATCTCATTCTCCAATCAACTCCTCTCACATGTCCACTCATGTTGCTCTCTGGTATCCACTCGCCCATGAAATCATCTCTGGAGCATCAGTTGTTCGGAGATCTTCAAAGTGCATATTGCCGTTACATGCATTTTCTATTACACTAGGAAGCACAGGTTCCCGGTTTCTGTTGAATCCTAATGTGAAAAGTGGATGCTAAGCATTTATCTAGCCCTGAATCTTCCGACGGTAAACCAACACCTGGAAAAGAAGAGGATGCATTTCTCCTTAAAAATTATCAAAGGGTGCAAAATTGTGGTTAGTTATGTACCAGTTGAGACATCTCACCATCTCCCCTTGGTCACTCGTGAAAGAAGCACAAATCGCTGCTAGAGATTCTTGTCCCTCCAACATCTGGAGGCCTATGGAAGGATCAGTCGACGCCTCGTCCATTGAGTTGGAAGCCCCAACTGCTAAATTTCGGCATTGAGGTTTCCTCGCATACATCTCAACTTCTTCAGCTTGGACAGATGTCTGAAGAGCGATAAACTGCACACATGCATCCACAAATTCCAATTTAGGAGCAAAATCTTTCAATTATTAAAAATTTAGAAACTTAATTCAAAACAAATCATAGAGAAAACGGATTCACTTGGCAAAGATGTCTAATTGACAGGGTTGGCCGGCAGCAAAGATATGGCTGTTCCAAATTTGGCATATTTTCATCATCCAAAGGAACCAGGGTCAGATGCACATCAAACTGAAAATTAAAAATCAGTCAGTAGTGTTGACCAAAATTGGTATGGCATGTAAGTACGAGGCAGCGTAACCATTTTTCTTACTGTACCTCATCATCAGCTTCATCTAAATTGCGCAGGCAGTCCACCAATTTGGCCAAGCGCCCACCCTTGACCAATCTACCATTTAAACCACTAGTACTGCTATGTCTAGTTTGACTACGTGTACCATTCTTACCCCATGCAAGCATCTCTCTGTTTCCTGCTCGCAAAGGCGATGTCCCAAGGGGCTCTCTGTTGACTTCAAAATCGTCGTTTTCCTCGGAGCCAACATCACCACTGCCTGCTGTTCTAGCTGGCGAAGATCGAGGAGCCCCCCATCTCTTGCATCTCTTCGGCCTTTGTTCAGGAGAGGGCTCATCTGCAGACGAGGTATCTTTGGTGACATCATTACCATTTGCTTCTTCTTCTTCCTCATCAGAGCCTGCAACTGCAGTTTCACCACCAATACTTCTGCCTCTTCCACGCAGATGATTTCGGTAACTTCCTTGTGGTTTTCTTCCGAATACTGCAGCAGCTTTAGCTGTGGACCTCCTCCTACCAAGTGCTTCTGATTGTCGTCGAAATGTCTCAGTTATGTATGCTTGGATCTAATTTGAACAGGAGATTTAAATACAGTATATGAGGTTCGAGGAGAATAAAAGCACTCCAAACACATTAAAATTATCTTCATTGATAGAACTTATTCAGTAAGGTGATGCTACCTTCTTATTGCGGGATTTCTCCTCTTCATGAAAAGCCAGTTCCTGCAGCCACACAATGAAGTCAAGAATTCACATCTAGAGAATAATAGTTACAATAACATGACCGAAAAACTGCAAATTAAAATTTTGTATAAATCACCCAGGATTGCCCAAACCAGTTTACCTCTTCTTCATACTTATCAATATCCGGATATAAGGTTGCTATAAGGGCATCATAGTTGGGATCATCTCTCAAAGAACGCCGACTTGCACAATGGGTGCGGCATGCAGGACATTCATTGTTTCTGCAAGACAGATAGCATCAGCTAAAGTTTGCTTGACACTACAATAAACAAAACTAGTTCTATTACTTCTAGGAAACCACAGCGAAAAGGAGGGATAGTACTCGCAAATGCACAGAGAGAATACTACAGGGACATACCCAAGTCTCATTGATTTGTCAATACATTCCCTACAAAAGCGATGCAGGCATTCCATGACCGTCCTTGTCTTACGTATTATCCCTGGTAGAGAGGCACCATGAATCTTTGCTTCAGAATAACTAGTAGCAATATATAAATGCTTCAATGATGATGATAGAGGAGATAAGAATTGACAAGAACAACATGGTTTCTGTGTTGCTGCTTAGCTACAATTGGTACCAGCAAAGAACTGTATAGAGATCATTACAGTTCTCATTTCAAGCTACAGAATAACTTGCACATTTTTTGATAGAGAACTGGATCATACCTAAGCAGATAGGGCACTGCACTTCTTTTCGAATGTCGGCTAGTTTCACTAGGATAAATCTGTGAACCAATGACAAAGGGAGAAAATATCAGTTATGTGTAGCATGCACAATTTAATCTTTGCAGTATGTGGTAATGAACCAAAGCAAGATGTTATGACTAACATGCTAAAGAATTATATAACTTGCTCATAACATAAGGCTACAGCACCTGAATATCATTCAAACAACCACAATAAGTGAAGAAATTTTGATGTATGCAGTTATCTCAAATATTTTCAAAGTGACATGTGAAAATAATCATCTAAGATGTTTTATATTTTTTTACTCACATGTTACATTCAAAGAAACAGCCGTCATCTCAAGGACACCAGGCACTGATGGTAAAACAGAAACAAATATTTCAAGTTATCTTAATGCATTAACCTGGATCAATCAATTGGTGTGGCAAGATGCAGCAACACATACTTAACCCACTAGCTGGTCATATTGTATAAGAAATTTTGCAAAGTGCTAAGGCTCAGTTCTGTCCAAACAAACTTTTTCTTATATTGGTCAGGACTATGACTTTCAATATTGAATTCCTAGTGGATTACCAGGATTCAGTCAACCCATGTGCCTCATTGCCTGCCCTCTCTCTGCTAGACCAATTCTACAGGAAAGAGAAACTGCTGTTTATAAATTTAATATGGCTGTCATTCTGATCCATGTCAACTCTATGTACTAGCTTTAGTTAAATAATACATACTCTGAATTCTAAAATGGGCAACTATCAATAGTCTTAAGGTCCAAGCAAAAATCAACAATTTCTTGCATTTTTTTAAATCTTTTGGTGGTTATCACAAGGTAGTGAAGACACATACCAGCTTTAATCTTCTGGTATCATTCTCCTTTCCAGATGAAGCAGGTTACCGAAAAGTTTTAAGATCTTAAGTGTTCTGGGCACTGTTGAAATTTTGCCAAGCAGTCAAAGAAAAGTCAATCACAAGAAAAAATAATGGTTCAACATGACTAAGAGATTGCAAATGGATTATTGTACTTAGTCCAGAGATATGATTTACAGATCTTTAAAAAAATTGATCTGGATATAATTCAAAGATCTTTTGAAGCTTGAAAAAAAGATTATTGGTTCTGCCAACAGTTTGTAGAGAGTATGGAAATTTTCAAGATCAACAAACAAAATAATATGTTTTCTCATAAGGATCAGAAGCTGGCAATATTAGACACTAAAAGCGAACTTTGCCAACTCCTCCCTAATAATCAAGTAATCAACAACTACAGATGCTGGGAAGTAGTTATATGATTTGGCTGACTTCTAAGCTACATTAATGGATCATAGGTTTGAAACTAAGAAACTTTCTTGGTCAAAGTCTGTATGGATAACCTGGGTATTCTCAGGTTAATGGGGTTGTATGACTTCCACTGCTAATTTAGATATTATTTTGAAAGTAAATAGCATTACAGAAGAAGTGATAGTGGCATTACAAATCACATAACTTCTCAGGGCAATAACAACAGCAAAAAGAAGAGCACAGAAACTCATGGCGATCCATCTAGAAACTAAGTTGGCCAATGCAACATCAACAGTACTTAGTTACAATACATCAGGAAATGACACAATTTAATACAG